ACTGGGCCAGCGAGGGGATTCCAGTCCCCAAAGGAGGAGGTGGTGAGAGAGGGAGAGGGAGGGCATATCTGAGGCCCCTAGGCAGGATGAGTTCAGGGCTGGGCCCCACAGCCTGCTCATCCATCCTGAATCTGGCCTCCGGGACTTGGCGTTCCCGCCCTCCATCCCCACCAGGCTGTGTCTTCTTTCCCCCTCCCCTGGCTTCTCACTGCTCTCCTTGCCCCAGCTTCTCCATAAAGAAACGTGGCTGTGAGGAGCGCCAGGCTTTGAAGCCAGGTCACCTCCACTTCCTCTAGTGCTGGTATCACTAACCCCTTCCTCTATCCTTCCTTCCTTTGTCCCCCTCCCCCACATTTATCCCACAACTTCCTTTATTCTGTCATGCCATGCCTAAGGGGCCCCTAGGAGGGGGCCAGGGGCAACTGGGAGTTTTTAGTTTGGAGAACAGGAGGGAATGAGAACGTTGTTGCGTCCACACATTCACTTGAGCATGCATTTACACATGCATTTACTTCTTTTCACTCACACATACATTCCTTCATTCTTTTGCAGTTACTCATTCATTCATTTTCTGGACACTTACTGAGCCTCTACTATGTTCAAGGCCCTGAGTGTTCAGGCGGAGGGGCCAGGATACTCTGATGGGTCAGTCCCATCCCTGATGCTGGCTAGCTCAAGGTCAAAAAGGGGGAATTACCACAAATCAGTCCAATTTAAGAGAAAATGCTCCGAGAAAGGGCTGTGAAGTGTGTGTGTTGTGTGTGTGTGTGTGTCTGTGTGTGTGCACAGGCGTTGGGGCACATAGCGGGAGAATGTAATTCCACTTGGGAGGGGCCAAGAAGGCTTCCTGTAGGCAGTGGCATTTGAGCTGGCCTTGATGGTGGGCAGGGTTTAGATGTAGACTTATTAAATGGGCATCGGGGTGGAGGGAACAGAAGAAACAAAGGACACTCCAGCGGTGTGAGGGAGCAGTGGGCACTTCTATTAATGGCATGAGGGGATCAGAAGAAAGAAGTCTGGACAGGGAGGCCAGGGCTGAGTGGAGGACAGGAGAGAGGAGCAGCCTTGTTCTGAGCAGCCCAGAGCCACAGTCATGGCAAGACCCTTCTGGCCCTTGTGTGTGTGTGGAGCTGTAGGTTCTGGTAGGAGCTGCAGGAGTTGGGCTAGGACAGTACTGTAAGTGGAAGTTGGTGTAGATGGTGTCAGAGGTCCCTCCTCCTCAGAGAGTCTGTGGTCCTGTCTGGGAAGGCCAAAGACCCAGGAGAGGGAATTCCTGGGAGTTTGGTTATGTATTCACTCATTCATTTCCTCTTTTGCCTTTAAACCCACTCATTCATTCATTTATTCTTCACTTAGTCACTAAACCCTTCCTCTGGGCAGGCCTTGTGCTGGAGACTCAGATGACTCAGAAGAGGTCCCTGCTCATGTGAGCTCCCAGTCTGCTGGGAGAGACAGACCCGTGCCTGACAGCGACAACCCAGAATCACTGTGGAATATAAGTGGAGATAATTTCATTGTGTTTTGTCACTGAGTGGGGAGGCAGAGTTAAGACATGGACCAGAAGAATTAATGCAGATGTTTGGCCTCCAGCCAGAAAGGCCCGATCCGTGGGGCCAGGTGAAGAAGGTTGTAGTCTGGGAAAATGAGTGTTTGAAAGAGAAAATCCTCTGGGTTCACAGGTGTGAAGAGGCAGGCTTTCTCTGGATGTGAGACTCCCCAGAGGCCCACTCAGGGACTGGGCCTTTGGGCTGAGGGCACCACAAGCTCCCCTCACACTAGAGATGAGCCTGCGGGATTTGGGAGCCCCTAGAGAATATTTTGGCTGGTCAGCATAAGCTGTAAGCAGGTTGAGGAGGGTGGTGGTAAATTTGTAGGCTGCTTTGGACTTAGGTCAGGGTTCAAGTCCCGATGTTTCCTACCCATTGATGTGAATTTGGACAAATGACTTAATATTCTTTGCCTCCATTTTTTCCTCTACAGGAAAATAATAATCATAGTATCTTCCTTTTAGGGTGAGGCCTAAAGGCAATAATATACACGATGTGCTTGCACAGTGCTGGGCATTGAAAAGGGCTGTAATGACAGGGTTATAATGACAGTGACTATGATGACAGTGACATACCATCAAGTGCTGCCTTTAAAATCTCTGGGCCTTGGCTGGGCATAGTGGCTCATGCTTGTAATCCCAGCACTTTGGGAGGCCGAGGTGGGCAAATCACTGAGGTCAGGAGTTCGAGAACAGCCTGGCCAACGTGGTGAAATCCCATCTCTGCTAAAAAATATTAAAAAACAAAATTAGCCAGGCCTGGTGGCACGTGCCTGCAACCCCAGCTACTCAGGAGCCTGAGGCAGGAGGATCGCTTGAACCCAGGAGGTGGAGGTTGCAGTGAGCTGAGATTGTGCCACTGCACTCCAGCCTGGGTGACAGAGTGAGACTCTGTCAAAAAAAGAAAAGGAAAGAAAAAAAAATCTCTGGGCCTCATTGTCCCCGTGTGTAAAATGGGAGGGCTGACCTAGCTCGCCAGTTCTCCAAGCACGGTCCCTGGACCAGTGGCATTGGCATCCTTTGGGATCTTGTTAGAAACACAAATTCTTGGGTGCTACTTCAGTTCTATGGAATCAAAAACTTTGGGGACAGGGCCCAGCAATCTGTATTTTAACAAGCCCTCCAGGTGATTCTGATGCAGGCTGGAGTTTGAGAACCACAGACCTCTTCTTGATCCACTGTTCCGGACTGTGATCCAACCATGTGTGTTTCATGCCTCTTGCACAGAGTGTCCGACTCTGCAGTGTGGTGGGGAGGGGCACAGAGATGGGTAAGATGTGGTCCAAGCCCTTGGGAGGTTCCTGGAGGAGTTGGAAAGGAGTGAATATACCCATGGGAACATTCACTGGAGTAACAGACTGCACAGAGCTGTTGCGGTGACACGGGAGTGAGCTCTGTAATAGACAGCGGAGAGAGAAGAGGGACCTTCGTGGGCTGCAGGGGGCCCTGTTGAAAGATCTAGCTCTCTGCTGCTTGTTCCTGACACTAAGATTGATTCAGCCTTTCTGGAAGTCCTCTTGTTAGTCTAACGGAAGCCTCTCTCATTTCATACCTTGCTGTGTGGGGGGTGGACAGGGCTCTGGACTTGAGTTCAGGAGTGTGATTCTAGCCAACTTCCTCACTGTGTGTCTTTGGGAGGCTCACTTTCCTCCAGACCTCAGTTTAGCCATATGTAAGATGTGGGGGTGAGCCGAATCCAGTGAGTGTGAGGCACTGCAGTTGTCTGGAGAGAGGGTAGGCTTGGGGGCCAGGAGCTCTCCGGGTTTTCGTTCCTCCTTCTGCAGAGGGAGGATTCTGAAATTGCCCTGGCTGCCTGTCAAGCTATCTTGGGGACCCAGTAACATGAACTGTCCCCTCTTTGGGCTGGTTTCCTTACCATCCAGGGAAGTCTCATGATACCTGTCCAGTCTACCTCACATGGCTTTCCTCATGTTGAGTGTACTCATCATTCCGTCATTCTCAGAGGCTCCTTGATGCCTAAACCCCAACGTCTGGCATTCAAACCCTCCATGACAGGTTCCCAGCTTCCCTGCAAGGCGATGCTCCTCACAGCCTGTGACTGCCTCCTGTTCTGTGCCTGTCAGGCCTTCCACCTCACCCCTCTTCTTAGCCTATCCAGGCCCATTCAGTCTTCAGGCCAGGTCTAGCACTACATCCTCCAGGAAGCCTCCAGGATTGCCCCAATCCTCAGGGCCATCCATGGGCCATCTTGCAGTCTTTTAAGGTGTGACTTTAATATCTCATTTGTAGACACGGAATGGCTGATCACTGACAAGCTGTTTGAGGGCAAGGCCTGAGCTCATGGGGATGAACATTATTAAAGTCCTTGACTTATGGAGCAGGGAGGCCCAGAGAAAGGAGGGAACTTGCTCAGAGTCACGTGGTACATTAGTGAAAGAAGGAGAACCCAGGCCTCTTAGGCAAGACAGGCCCGGAGGAGGCATGATTAGATCTGTGGTGAATGAGCGAGAGGCCCTGAGGATGGAAGGAAGGCTGTGGCCTCGGAATCCAGCTGGGCTGTCTCAGCTGGGCTGTGCACTCACTGGCTGTGCCACCTGGGGCATGTTACCTACCCTTCCTAAGGAATCTTGCCAGTGGGGTTGGAGGAGGACCAGTCCAAGGCCTGGCACACGGCAGGTGCTTGGTTATTACGGGGTGCATGCTATTACTTTCCATGTACTTGTCCATCCCAGCCCCCATGCCTGAATCCTTTCCCTGCCCCCCTCCCAACCCCTCAGTTCCCTTAGCCACCAAGCACTCATTGTCCTGTCCTTAGTCCAACGTGAGTGTCAAGACCTCCTGATCAAGCCTGTGGGCAGAAGTCAGAGAGAGAAGGGAAAACGCTGGTGGTCTCTCAGTTGGTGGTGGCTAGAGAGAAACTGGAGTGGGTGTCCCAAGGGGCTGAAGCCTGCATGGCCGCTGGGGTGGAATTTGGCAGGTGCCACTTTTAGAAAAGTCACACTGCCTATTTAAAGGAAGTGAGGGGTGTGTCCTGTCCCCAAACAGCAACTGCTGGATGCCTGCGGCCTGGAGCTGAGAAGCTGGTGGGCAGCGCTCCCGGGGTGAAGAATCCTAGCAGGTGGGTCTGGTATCTCTCCGGGAGGTTGCTGGCAGCTCCCTGGCCTCCTGCCACCTTCCAGCCTGACCCCTTGTGGATGGATGGAAGCCTCATGGCTGTTTTGCCTATCTGCTGGCTGGGATGAGGGACCTGGACGCCCCCCCCCAGCCCCCTTCCCCGGGAGTGATCACAGAGCCAAGAGACACTGTTGGCAGGATGATGGGCTTTGGGACTGGGGGTGCCTGGGGTTTGACTGGGGCTGGGTGCCCAGTGGGCGGGCACAGGCTCCTTGACGTGTCTGTGGCCTAGCTGGCAGCCCCGTCCTCCTTCTCCGCTAGGCGGGCACTGGAGCTTTCTGTGCAGGGCTCCTAGGAGAAGGGGGGCCGAGGGCAGTCTGAAGAGAGGCGGGACGCGGGGTGATCACAGCTGGCTCTGGTGGGCGGGCAGGAGCTGGGGAGGAGGAGCAGGAGAGGCCCACAGGCTTCATTTGGAGCGGGGCCTGGCTGTTGCTCAGGTGACCAGCTTTTGTCTCTGGGAGGGTGCTGCTTTCCCTGGCCACCCGGCGCGATGATCCAGAATGTCGGAAATCACCTGCGACGGGTATGGAGGGTGGGTTGGGGCAGCGGGAGGGCTCTGGAGGCTGGGCACCCAGAAAGAGACTGACGTTTCCATTTTAACTCATACGCTGTGCATCTCCTCACACTCTCCACGGGCCATTTTCTAGCTCTTTTGGAAGGAGAAATCGCAGAGCCCCTGGGCTGGTTTATTATCAGCAGCAGTCTCCAAACAGGCCCCAGGGGCTGTCAGATCCCCTACGGGCTGGCTGTGCTCAGTGGAATCACCTTCAGCAAGTGTTGGCCTCTGGAATTCTATTTGGTGGGCGTATGTTTCTCCCTGCAGAGTTCTGTACATGTTTCTGGGGGACATCTGAGCTCCATGGCCTTGCGGTGCTTCATGCTCAGAGCTCAGGACCCCCAAAGCCACAGAGCTGGTGGGAGAGACAGGGTGTGAGGTATGTGTGGGAGTGTGGTGGGGTGAGGTGGGCGTTCTCGGGGAGTGGAACCTCTTTGGGAGAGCAAGCACAGGATCACATGAGGGCTGCGGAAAGCTGTCCTGCAAAGTGACCTTGAAGAGAACTTTTCTCTGCACTTTGGAGCTGAGATTAGGTGCGGAGGCACATGGCAGACCTAAGTGCCCAGCAGCGCCTGGCAGTGGATGGAGTGTATGGAGATGGGCTCAGGACAGACTGGCAGAGGTTGTAATGGGTGTAGTGTGGCTGACCTCTGAGGATATTTCCAGGAAAAGCCTTTTTTTTAAAGGGGCTGGAACAAATAAATGTCTTATCCGTCCCCTCCCTCCATCTGCACAGCCACTGCAGAACTCAGCATGCGCACCGGACCCTGTGCATCTTGTCTCCCCTGGCTGCCCTGTCCCATGTCAGCCCCTTTCAGTCCACTCTCCACACTGGAGGGATGCTTCTAAAAGGTAAATGTGCTGACTCCTCACCTGCTCAGACAGCTACCTGAGGATGATTTTCACATTCCTTACTTGAGACACAGGGATATTGGCACTCTGGCCCCTGCCCACACCTCCATTTTCCTTCCACCATCCCTACCCCTCTGTTGTCTCTGCCTCAGCCATATCGAGCTGCTCTCCGCGGCCTCGGTGTCCCACCTTTGTTCTCTCCTCCGGGATGTTGTACTTGCTGTGTCTTCTGCTGGAGCTACCCCCAGCCTTCCTGCATCTCCCCAAACTTGTCTCCCTGGCAAGTTCCTTCTGAGTCCTCAGATCTCAGCTCAGGTGCTGCCTCCTCTGGAAGTCCTTCCCAGATTTCTCATGGCACCACGAGCCTCTGCGTTAACTCGTTTTCACACTGGATTGTGTGCTAGACTGGCACATACATCCCTCCCACCAGCCAGGGAGCAACACAAGTCTGCTCTTGGTGTACCCAGCACAGGGATGGGTGTGGCCAGAGGCCAGGGAATGCTTAATGAATGAATGGGGACAGGCAGCTTTTCAGCAGTGAGGCCAAGGATGGGATCTGAGTAGCAGGGCCGCTTGCTGTTGTCATCTGAGTGCAGGGCAGAGTGTCTCCCAGGTGGGAGGGGCTGCTCGTATCTTCTCCTATGCCTTGTTGTATTTAACCCTTTATGACTTTTTCCTTCATCAGTAAATGGGGGCAAGGCGCTGGGGAAGAGACATATCATTATCACTGTTTTACAGAGATAACAATGGTAACCAATCTTCACATAGCTTTTTTGCATATATGAACTCATTCAGTTCTCTATGAGGTAGGTGCAGTTATCATCCCCGTATCCCAGATAAGGAATCTCACAGAGGGTAAGTGACTTGCTCAAGATCACACTGGTAGGAAGTGGCAGAGCTGGGATCTGAACTCAGCAGTTTGGCCCCAGAGTCTGAGCTCTTAAGGAATCTGAGGCTCAGCCAGAGGAAGGCGCAGATGTGGGATTCCAACCCACATGTCCCGACTCTGAGCCCAGCTGGCATTCAGCTTCCTTGCACTGCCTCTATTGAGTCTGGGGGTGGAGGTGGGTGTTGGGGGTGGAAGTTGGGCTCTTGAGGACACAGGTGGCCTCCTGTCAGCTAAGAACACTCTGGCCTTGATTGCCACCTCTGCACCACTGCCTGGATGGTGGATCTCTTTGGATTTCTCTCGAATTCCCTTAGTTCCTCTGGAATACAAGAGGGTTTGGGAACATTTTCTGGCTTGGTGCCAAAGCTGTTTTTAATGAAAAGCAAACAAGCAAACAAATAAACAAACAATCCCTGGCCAGGCATGGTGGCTCACACCTGTCATCCTGGCACTTTGGGAGGCTGAGGCAGGTGAATTGCTTGAGCTCAGGAGTTTGAGACCAGCCTGGCCAACATGGTGAAATCCCATCTCTACCAAAAATACAAAAAAAAAAAAAAAAGCTGGGCATGGTGGCACGTACCTGCGGACCCAGCTACTCGGGAGGCTGAGGTGGGAGGATCACTTGAGCCCGCCTGGGAGGTGAAGGCTGCAGTGAACCAAGACCATGCTACTGTACTCTAGCCTGGATGACAGAGTGAGATCCTGTCTCAAAACAAAAACAAAAACAAACAAAAAGCCCCACCAAGCCGGGCGTGGTGACTCATGCCTGTAATCTCAGCACATTGGGAGGCCAAGACGGGTGGATCACTTGAGGCCAGGAATTTGAGACCAGCCTGGCCAACATGGTGAAACCCTATCTCTACCAAAAATACAAAAATTAGCTGGGCATGGTGGCGCGCTCCTATAGTCCCAGCTACTCGGGACACTGAGGCAGGAGAATCGCTTGAACCCAGGAGGCAGAGGTTGCAGTGAACCGAGATCGCACCACTGCACTCCAGCCTGGGCAACAGAGTGGTCTCAAAACAACAACAACAATAACAACAACAAACTCACCAAACTGTCTTTAATAGGAACTAAACTGGAAACAGAAGAGGGGGTGTCAGATAATCCACAAACTCCACTTTGCATGGTTGGGGGCCATTTTCAGTGTCCTGTGGCACTGTAGACAGAGTCAGCATTGGAGTTCGAGGGCTCTGGTCCCTACTCGTCCCTGGGTACCCAGCAAGTGAGTGGGTGACTGAATGAAGTGGCCAGCCTGCTGCCATGCTCGGGGCTGGGAGAACTGCTGAGTGCCAGTGTGGTGGTGCCAGAAAGGTCTCCCTGTCCTGCTTCAATCCTTGCCTCTCCACGTGGAGAACTCTTCTCCTTTCCCTATCCAAGACGTCAGTCTACACTGGGCACTGAGTCTCACATTTCTGGGCTAGCAGGGACGCACTGGTGCCCTTGTAGGAGGTGGGCAGGGGTCCTGGGAGGTCTGGGAGCCTCTGCCCAGCCTCAGGTCTAGCCTGGCCCAGGTCAGCTCTCAGTGGGGTTCAGAAGCTTTTTTCACTCCAGAAATGGTGATGGGGCTGGTTGTTTTTGTTTTTGGTTTAAGACGGAGTCTCACTCTGTCACCCAGGCTGGGGTGTGGTGGTGCAATCTTGGCTCACTGCAGCCTCCGCCTCCCAGATTCAAGGGATTCTCCTGCCTAGCCTCCCGAGTAGCCTCCTGAGTAGCTGGGATTACAGGTGCCCACCACTATGCCTGGCTAATTTTTGTATTAACCTCCAACCGCACAATGCAATCCTACTGCTTTACCTTGAACCTGAGGACAGCTGGAGAGCTCGCCACAACCTCCTCAGCTTCCTAAGGGGTCTAACTCAGAGTGTGGGGAGGTTCAGGGCACAATGATTGGATGTTCACCCCACTGCTCACTGTGTGACTTTTGGCCAGGGGTTCCTCTCTCTAGTCCTTAGGGTGCTGGGTAATCCCTGAGGTCCTCGCCAGCCTGGACATCCTGGGGCTGTGAAATGTTTGTGAAGGGTTTGTCTGCCACCATGAGGTTGATCCTGACAGTGAGAGGCAGGGTCCTGTCTCTCCTGAGGACCCTACTCTGTGTTGGAGATGGGGAGACCTTAGACATAAAATGATGGACCTATCATATACAAGGGGTCCCAAAACTGCTGAATGAATGAGTGACCACGGGTGCTCAGAAGCAGATTGAGTTGGTCCCAGAAGGCTTCCTGGAGGAAGAGGTGAGACTTGAACGTGTAGCATCAGCCTATTCAGGAGCCATATGTGAACCCCAGGCTCAGCTATGGGCAGATACTCTTAGTGTTTTTTTTTTTTTTTGGAGACAGAGTCTCACTCTGTCGCCCAGGCTGGAGGGCTGGAGTACAGTGGTGCCATCTCAGCTAACTGCAACCTCCGCCTCCCTGGTTCAAGTGATTCTCATGCCTCAGCCTCCTGAGTAGCTGGGACTACGGTGGGTGCCATCACACCTGGCTAATTTTTTGTGTTTTTAGTAGACATGGGGTTTCACCATGTTGGCCAGGCTGGTCTCGAACTCCTGACCTCAGGTGATCTGCCCGCCTTGGCCTCCCAAAGTGCTGGGATTACAGGTGTGAGCCACCATGCCCGGCCCACTCTTAGTGTTCTTAATTTATTTAGAGGACTCTTTTTTTTTTTTCTCTCCAAAATGTTATTTTATTATGCATAGCATAAGCGAATGATTACCTCATTAAAAAAAAAAAATTAAAATGGGCCAGGCATGGTGGCTCATGCCTATAATCCCAACACTTTGGGAGGCCGAGGCGGGTGGATTACTTGAGGTCAGGAGTTTGAGACCAGCCTGACCAACATGGAGAAACTCCATCTCTATTAAAAATACAAAAATAAGCAGGATATGCTCAGTTGAACCTGGGAGGTGGAGGTTGCAGTAAGCTGAGATCGCTCCACCGCACTCCAGGCTGGGTGACAGAACAAGACTTTGTCTCAAAAAAAAATTTTTTTAAAATAAATGGACAGATAACAATCTATGTTTTTATCAGGTACAAATGATGTTTTGAAGTATATATACATTATGTAATGATTAAACCTAATAGATGCATTACCTCACATCGTTTTCATTTTTTTGGTGATAGTGCAGAACATCTACTCTACATTTTTCAAGAATACAATATGTTGTAATTAACTACATCACCTTACGTATAATAGGTCTCTTGAAATTTATTCCTCCTAAGTGTAA